GGGGGGAGTGGGTGTTTTTCCCTTCTATAGCAAATCCCGAAGGGGCGCTCGCCTCCCGCCCGCCGCCGTCCGCCCCGCCTCGCTGCAAGCCCCGCCGTGGTCCCCGCGCCCCGGGGAGGCTGTGAGGGCTGTGCTCGGGCTGCTGGCTCGCCCCGGCCCGTCCCTTCGCGTCTCCCCGCGGGCTGCAGCCGCCCGGGTGAGTGGGGGGCGCCTCAGTCATGCTGTCTCCTGCCCAGGGGCACGGGGCAGCGGCTTCCCCCCGAGGTGCTCCGCACTGAAGGGCACCTGCCCTGCCACAGCCCCCAGGCGGAGCCGCTGGCACCAGGGCCCGACACCCCTCAGGGAGCACGCTGGAGGGACACCGAGGCACAAAGGGCTAGGATCCAGAGTGACCTACACCTCTGGCCCTCAACCATTTGGTACCAGGACCCACCCCTGGCCAGTCCTGACCCAGTGCCCCTTGCTTCTGGCCTGCTGCCCCCCACCTCCAGGCTCCAGCTCCTCTGACTGCCAGCCTGCGGGGGAAGAGCCCAGGTCTCCCACGTTTTTCCTCCTTCAAAGGAGAATCCATTTTTCAAGTTTGTGACTCTTTCATATATTCTTGGGACCCACTTTGGGGGCATGACCCATAGGTTGAGAAACGCTACCCTAGACAAATTGGAGGATGGGGCCAAAAGACATCTCATGAGGTTCAACAGGGACAAGTGCAAAGTCCTGCAGTGGGGTGCTGGAGGTTTTTAAGACGCAGCTAGAGGAAGCCTTGGCTGGGATGATGTAGTGGGGATGGTGCTGCTTTGAGTAGGGGTGGACTAGAGAACTCCTGAGGTCCCTTTCCACCCTCATTTTCTATTTCTTTGATTCTGTGATGCCTGATGTGTCCACCATATGCAGGATGGGGCCAGCAGACATGAGCAGCTGAGCTTTGGCAGATCTAGGCTTGGGAGAAGTGGGGTGCAGGTGCTGAGGCGCATCATCCCATACACCAGCAGGGAGCTTTCTGCAGCTAACAGGAAACAAGATGCACTGGGGGCCTAGGCCTGGGTGATGCCATTTCAGATGGAGGCAACACCTAAGGGAGCATCACTGGAATGAGTTAAAACCAGGGTGTGGGGTTGGAAAGTAGGCATGAGGTTCCCAGGAGCAGGGAACAGACAGCAGAACAAAGGATAGCTTGACTGGTGGGACACCAGGACCATTAAAAAGGAGAGAGGGTAGTTAACACCTGTGGAAGCAAGAGGGATCCAGTAGATTCAAGTGAGCCATGAAGTCAATTGACCCCCTCAGCAAGGCCTGACTAGAAAAGCTGCTGCCCTGCCAGGCACTTGGTTTGAAACTTTGGGTGGGGCAAGAAGCAAAGTAGCAGGGTGGGGGGTACACCAGTGCGTCCTTACTGGATCCAGTGTAACGTGCATAATGGGCTTGGGTAGCGTGTGAGCATTGTGTGCCAGTAGTGTCTTTGTGCTTGGCAGTGTGTGAGTGTATAGGTAAGTACCTGTGTCCAGCCTGTGGGAGAAGGGTGAGTGACATAAGTGTAATGTGTGTCTTGCAGAACTCATGTTAGATGAATGCAGCAGAGGAGCATGGGGTGGGTAGTGAATCCAACATGGAGTGTATGGAGTAGGCAGTGAACACAGTTTGCAGATTGGGCATCAGTAAAGTGTTATTCAAATCAAATTGAAATTCCAACCCAGCCCTAAAACATGCTTCCTTTCCCTGTTAACTGATATATCAGACCATACCTCAGGTATTGGGATGCATAAATACAAATTCACTTTGAAAGCTGATTTTCTGTTGGGAAAGAGCATCTTTTTGTCACGCTCCGGCTGGGCTCTGCAAGCTCTGCCCAGCAATAGGTGCCACCAAGCACTCTTCCTTCTATCTGGGAAAGCCCCTGTTTGGCCTGCTGCATGGCCCCTTGGCCATGTGCTCGGGAGACCCCGCTGTATGGCCCCTGGCCATGTGCTGGGAAGACCCCATCCGCATGGTTTCTGGCCATGTGCTAAGCCCCGCCCCTGTGGGGAACCCGGTGGACCAATCGAAAGGGCTTAAATCTGGGCTTGTCATCAGGCCTATAAAGCTGGGGTGGAGTTCTCCACCTGGGAGGAAGAGCAGAAAGAACAGCAGAGCAGTGCGCAGTATCCATCGTCCGCTCAGCTAGCCAAGAAGCCGGAGCTTCCATCGCTTGCTGGGAAGGCCTGGCCAACTTCCCATGGCTTCTCCTGTCTCCGGAGAACAATTTGCCGATCGGTTTTCTTTTGGTTCTCAAGGCGTCCACCGCTTTATTGTTTTCCCGAGAACCGTCGAGTTTTTCGCGCATTCGTTCCAGCGAACGGGACAGATGCTCGATCATTTCTCCAGCCTCACCCGAACGTGGATCCAACGAGTTTGTTATTTTCTTCCTTTCATCTCTTGCCTGGATTAGGACGGAATCCTCCCTGCAGCCACGTTTACACCAGTGCTGTACAAGTAAGAAACGTTGTGTGTCGTCAGTTCGCGATTGAGTGTCGTGTGTAACCAAGTGTAACTGCCTGTGCAGCCACATCTGTATCAGTGGAGCGCATGTAAAAAGGGACTAAATAAAAGAAAGTACTTTTGCAACCGTTACGAGTCCACCTCTCCCTCTCCCTAAACTAACATCAGGGGATCAGAACCCCGGGGCTATAGCCACAGCCTGGCTTGTGCCCCGCACTCTTTTCATAATGGACATTTCTTGATGAAGATGTTTTACCTTTACAGAAATGAATTCCCTGGACCATATGTTTTAGATTAAAAAAACAAAAAACCCCCAACCCCCACACATTTACTCCTCAAACTGCTGTTTTTAATAAACTCTTTAAGACCTATTCATTCAATAGGCCAGTGTCTTTATATGACATCACTGAGGCAGTGGGAGCAGTCAGTGCCTGCTAGAGCAAACAAGAAGACTCAGTTCTAGCTCTTATGACCCCTTGTAACAGGGGGCTTTCTCAGGGCCAATTTGCCTTTGGCCCACCCACCTGTTTCTGGGCCAACTGCCCGCCTTCTTTCCTGCCATGCCTTGTTGTTATCTAATTAATGGTCTTAATTAGGCGGGAGGCTGTCCATTTCTTGCCCTGATGCCAGGGGGCACTAGCTGCGACCCTGTTTCTCCCCTACATCGCAGCCCAAGGCTTGCAAATGGCATCCACAGATGTTACTTTCACTGGCCCCATAATGGGCCCCAGAATCTTCCAATCAGGACCCCTCTAAGATCCCCTCCATTCAGGCGGCCTAACCCGCCCTCATTCAGGGCTGCCTCACTCCCTGAAACTATTTCCCCTCATGGGCATGGTCCCCCCAGGACCTTTGGCCACACAGGCCCTGGCTTCGTCTCCAAGGCCAGTTGGGAACCCCAGGCCTTCAGCTCTGGGCATCCCGCACGGTGGGCCCCTGGCCCTTTTGACCAGTCTGGTCCTGGCCCCAGCATTGACCACTCGAGGGTACTCTGCATCAGGTCTCTGCACCTCCAGCCCCACTCTCTCTGGGGTGTGCCCTCTGGACCCTACTAACGGGTGACCCACCCAGTTGTGGGAACTGGGGTTAAGGCGCCCCAACCTGCCTTTCATCGGGGTGATCACTGGCCTGGCATTTCCTGGGGGCTCCCGCACCACTGAGAGCCCCACCAGGCAACCCACTCCCAGCAGGGTGCAGTTTTAGGTCATGCCCAGGACCAAGGAGCCTCCTAGCCATCCCCTGCAGCTCCTGCCCTTACCTCCAAGTTGATACCAGCAGCCCTGCAGCCCAGCAATGTTGCTTTTTGGCCTGCCAGCAGCAAAATGCTCTGCTTATCTAGGCAGCCCTGAATCTAAAATGACTGCCGTGATCAGGCACCTGCTGGCTGTTTGGCTTAGGTCTTAAAGTGGCAGGTATAAACAGTACCCTGCCATACCCTTCAATGGGTTAACTACTTTATTTATCCTTACTGACCTCTTCAACCCACCTTCTCTTTTCTCAGTAGTGCCCCCTCCCCCTATCCTTTGTATATAAATTCCCTTCTGTTTAGTATCCCTGCTTTCTGCAAGTCTTTTCACAGCATCTGAAGAAGTGAAACTTTAGGGCTCTCTCAACCAGTTAGGTGTCACCCTGTCCTGCCTTCTGCCTAACTTCAGCTTTAATCGCTTCCCCTTCCCCCTGTTTCAGGAACTCAGAACTTGTATTCATTTTGGAATGAAATCTCCCATGCTTAGACCTGGGAAACACCCCAAAGCAGATCATTTGTAATAGTTTAAATTCAACTGAAACAAGCTATTCTGATTTATTCAAGAATAAAAACACAAAACAGCCCCCTTTTCTTCCTCTTCCTGCCAATATGTTCCAATGTACAATGCAGGTTACTTTGGCCCATAAAAATACTGCAGAAACAGCAAACTCATTCCATGCCCTGGCTCACATCTGGACCAGGGGGGTCTTGCAGGCCTTATCCACAGGGCAAGTGGGAGCAATGGAGGCAGCGGTGGTGGTGGCAGGCCCAGCAGCAGAGGTGGTGGGGAAAGCAGCCATGAGCCAAGCAGGTACTTGCCACAGTGGAGATGGGACAAGCAGCAGTGGCAGGGCAAGCAGCTGCAAGCAAAACATTCACCAAGCAAATGGGATAAGCCAAGTAGAGGTGGTCCCAAGCTGCAGCAGAGTGAGCAGGGCAGTGCTGGCATGCACTCTGGCCACTGAGGGGCATGTCCAACAGGGCCACAGATTCTATGGCAGGATTTACCTGTCATTAGCCACATCTCC